GAGGGAAAAACATGAAGTTGAATCATTCTCCTTGCTCCAAGTGTGTTCTTGCCTCCCTAAAGTCTTCTCTCCCTCCAGAGTAGTGGCTCCCCCTTAAAAACTTTAGGATGTATTTATAGCGGCTATGGTTTGTATGGGCCGAATTTCTTTCTTCTATTTCGGGTTAGAGAATCTGTTTTTTTTGCTCTGGTCCCGGTCTGGCGAAGTGATCCTCGCTTCGCTGTTTGGGACTTCTCTAGTTTCTTCTGCTCCGGCCCCGGTCTGGCGAAGTGAACATCGCTTCGCTGCTCGGGACTTTTCTCTTCAGCTCTTTTTTACCATTTTTTCTCCTATTTGATCCTTTTCCGCATAAGTTTGTTCCTACACATAAGAAACACGTAATGAGCATATTTTCACTTCAAAGAGGTGTGAGCTCCCGCAACTCACACAAGAGTTAACACACAAACACACTTAAAACATGCACTTTTCAGTATTATCATTCACTCTCGAACTATCTTCATATCCAGAATTTGTTGTGCTGGGCCCAAGTCCTTCATATCAAATGACTTGGACAAATCTCCCTTCAACTTTGTGATCAACTCCTTGTCTTTTCCTACAATTAACATGTCATCCACATACAACAACAAAATAATATAATTGTTGTCAAAAATTTTTTTGAAGTATACACATGGATCAAAATATGTCTTTATGTAAGTTTGACTTTTCATGAATGAGTCAAACTTCTTAGACCACTGCCTTGGTGTCTGCTTCAATCCATAAAGACTCTTATTCAGTTTGCACACCATGTGTTTCCTTTCAGCTACTTTAAATCCTTCTGGCTGCTCCATATAAATCTCCTCTTCCAAATCTTCATAAAGAAATGCAGTTTTCACGTCCAACTGCTCCACTTCAAGAACTAGGCTAGCTGCTAAGCTCAAAATTATTCGAATAGAAGTCATTTTGACAACATGTGATAAAATTTCGTCAAACTCAATCCCTTTCTTCTGTTCGAAGCCTTTTACCACCAATCGAGCATTGTATCTAACCAACTTGCCATTTTCATCTTTCTTGAGTTTAAATACCCACTTATATTTGAGTGGTATTACCCTTTGGAAGTTCAACCAGCTTGTACGTGCCATTTTTCTGTAGAGATTCTATTTCTTATTGCATGGCTTTCATCCACTGGTTCTTTTCTGGATGGGACAACACCTCTTTAAGACTTTCTGGCTCCTCTTCATCACTGATGAGGACATATTCTATGGAAGGGTGCCTGCATGACTTTACCCTTGGCCTTTCTGATCTCCTCAGAGGTTGAGGTTGTTCTTCTTCCTGAGTAGGGTACTCCATTTACTCGACATCATCATTAAGTTGTTCCCCTGCTCAATAACCTCATCAGGTTGCTCCTTCTGCTCGGCAACCTCATCGGTCCTACTTTCTACACTTATGGGATTGTTGGAAGTAGAAAGATGGTAACTAGGTTAGGGATTATACCATTCTTTGTCTTCTCTGACTGGTCATCTACAGTTCCAACTTCACTTACTCGAAAGACTACAACTCTGCTTTTGATGACCTTCTTCTTTACAGGATCCCACAATCTCTACTCGAACTCTCCATCTTCATATCCGATGAATATGCAGGAAACAGATTTATCATCCAACTTTGTTATTTGCTCCTTTGGTACATGTGCAAAAGATCTGCAACCGAACACCTTTAGATATGAGTAGGACGCTTCCTTGTTGGTCCAAACTCTCTCTGGGATGTCAAATTCCAATGGAACTGATGGACTCCTATTGCTTAGGTAGCAGGTTGTCTGAACTGCTTCACCCCAGAATGACTCAGGCAGTTTAGCCATTCTGAGCATGCTTCTCACCTTCTCACCAATGGTGCGGTTCATCCTCTTGGCTACACCATTGTGCCGTGGGGTTTCAGGAACTGTCTTTTCATGTCTGATCCCATGGCTTGAACAGTACTCTTCAAATTCTCTTAAAGTGTACTCACCTCCATTGTCACTTCGGAAATGCTTTAGCCTTCGACCCGTCTCCCTTTCCACCAGAGCATGTAACTTCTGAAAAACTTGAAACACCTGATCTTTAGTTTTCAAGATATAAACCCATAATTTACGTGAAGCATCATTAATAAAAGTAACAAAATATTTGTTACCGCCCATCGTTTCAATTTCCACTGGAACACAAACATTAGAATATACCAAATCAAGTATATTCAATTTTTTTAAGACGAAGTTTGAAATGAGACTCTATGCTGCTTACCAAATAAATAATAGTCATAAGGTTTTATCGTTGTACCTTTGGAAAAAGAGATGAGTGATTTCATGGCAAGAATCTACAATCCCTTCTCGCTCATATGACCCATTCTTTTGTGCCACAAATATGCAGAAATCTCATCTTGTGCCGCGTTCAATTCACCTCGGGATATTTCTGCATTTGTCCTGTATAACATGCCACGAGCAACTCCCTTTGCAATCAACAATGATCTCTTGGTGAGTCTCCACTTTTGATTTGCAAAATAATTCTCGTATCCATCTCGGTCTAAAGCAATTCCCGAGATCAAGTTCATCCGTAAATCAGGTACATGCCACACGTCCTTTAAAACCAATATGCATCCAACATTTTTCTTGATACAAATGTCACCGATCCCCGCAATATTTGAGTAACTCGTGTTACCCATTCTCACAGTTCCAAAATCACCTGCTACATATCTGCAAAAATTTCTCTTACCGGTGTGACATGGTAAGATGCTGCTGTATCAGCCAGCCATTCCGACTCTGGACCTAACAAGTGCATGCATTCCTCTTCCTCATTTATAAATAGGACAACATTATCATTGTTTTGCACCATGGCAATTGTGTTGTCGTCATTCTTCTGGCCAATACTTTTACTTTGTAGGTCCGAGTGAAATACTCCAAAGACCACTGCAACACTCAAAAGAAATAACTCTCTTTTGATATTTCCACCTCACTACAATATCGCTCACTCTCTATTTTTCTCACAGACTATTTTCTTATACCCTGTCTATGATACCTCACTCTTTATTTCTCTCTTTGTTGGTGTGTATTTACATATGAAAGTAGAGCACCTATTTATAGTTGCAGAATGCCCATGACGATGTATGTAATGACAACAACATCTACTACAAAAGTCTGCCCAAATCTTTTCTACTATTGATTTGGTTAACTTGAAGTTTTCAAAGCAAAATAAAACTTCTCTTCTTTCACATGTGCCACGGGATGGACCAACAAGAGTGATACTTTTGACATGAATCTAACTCAAAGAATAAGCTTAAATAAAGAAAATAATTAGGTCTTGTATTTTGTCTTATTAGCAGTATGTTGTTTTGTATGATAGCTAAGCAAAAATAATTTTGTGATAAAAATTTATTATTGCCTTATCCCTTTTGGTTATTAATCTTGGGATAAATTATTCTGGGATTAAAAATAGTATCGAGGTATCATATACCTGCTAGATGTTGGAATAGCAATTTGAAGATAAGTTATCTTAGGATAAAACAGTAAAATTGACAATCTCATAATTTATATAGCATACCAAACACTCAATAAGAAATAATACGTGGATAATTAATCCCAATTATCACTAATTCTAGCATAAGTAATCTCAACTAGTGTTTTAAAAGGCTTTTCTGGGACTCGCCTCGGGGCTCGCCCTGGGGCGGGGTACTGTCAAAACGCCTTGAGACTCATGTGTGGGGCTTAGTTCTGTGAGACTTACGCCTCCAAGCGCCCGATTGTGCGCCCTAAACATGCATAACGCTCAAGGCCCGGGACTTGCCCCACAATTCCTATGCAAATCATGTGTTGAATTCACTAATTAGCATTGTTGATTCTCAAAATTCATCAACAAATGAATGGTTAAATTTCTTTATCTATAGGAATATGAAAAATATGAATAACTGAAATAACAAACCATAGTATTGCATATTTACTAAATGAGAGTATCGTGAGGGCAATATCATTTGAATATCTCTTCTGAAAATAGATAACCAAAATTTATATCTTTACTTGATAGATCTTCATGTCTTAGTTCTACGTCTTACTAAATTATCATATATTTATTATTTTACTCTTTAAAATAATTTTATATTTCTCATGAAGGAGTAATATTTTAAACTACAGTGTTGATAAAATTTATTGAGTATTTATTTTTAAGGAGGTATAATATGCAGTTTCATAACATTTTTTAAGAAATTATGATATTTAATCGTTTGCAAGTTAAGACGTTGTAGTAAATTTAATATGACATAGTAAATTTAACCGTATTGCATTATTTATACTTGTAAAACATGCTAGATGTTTTTTATTTTATAAGAGTTTCTTAAATTCTTTATAGTTTTCATGAACTTTTAATGTATCCTTTATTTTATTTTTTGTTATAATGTTATATTATTAATTCATACATTTAAAAAATTAAAGATCCGGGTACCTTCCCTTTTAATTGAGAGAAGGACTCGAAATTGACTCCCCTCGATTCAAGATCCGAAAGAAGGGTATGAGTTTCTCCAAGGAATGCTCTCCCGTGGCGGTATGCAGATTCTCGAGGGCCCGACTGGGTGTATTGTATGTGCCAATTGCCATTTAGCTAATAAGCCCGTGGAGATTGAGGTTCCACAAGCGGTACTTCCGGATACTGTATTTGAGGCAGTTGTTCGAATTTCTTATGATATGCAACTGAAACAAGTTCTTTTTTTATGCATTTCTTTAGTCTTTAGGGAGCCAAAGCTTGACTTTGCCCCATGTCTCGAGGCTCTCGCCTTGTCGCGCCCCGTATTAAGTAAAACGACCCGCCTCACGCCCTCGCTTTTAAAATACTGCCGAAATTTCTTCTTGTCATATAATAACACGCGAATCATATACTTAGCTTTATTATTATTATTATTATTATTATTATTATTATTATTATTTTTATTATTATTATTACGAAAACAATGTTAAATTGAATGAGACAAGGAATAAATAAAACACAAATAAAACCCTCGTCAAAATCAGAAAGTCTGTTGGTAAAGGGAAGCGGTGGTTAAGAATACGACGAGGTTTCCCGGGACTGCGGGTATATATTTCCCAACTCTTCAGTTGCTCGACGACGCTTCAGATTTTGTAACTATCATTCTTTTTTATGTTTGTCCCTTTTGTCTCTTGTAACTTTTTACGAATTGTAGTTGTTATGGTCACTGTTTGAAGCCTAAAAGAATATTGCTATACATTATAGAAATCATTCTTGTTTCTCTTTTTTTTCTAGTAGGAAATATTTTGCTATTCTCCCTCCCCAGTTCCCCTTTTCTTGGAAATATAATTGGTTAATAATTTGCAGGCTGAATTATCTGTAGATTTTGAAAGTTTGATATTTTCTTTACTATCAGGGTTTGAACTGACTATGGAGTTTTGGTACTTGTGTTGAAACAATTGTATATTGAGTTGGTTGCTAATGTTGTGAGATTGAAACATGGATTCTAGTAATGAATCTTTGAGGGTTGATATGGGAGTAACAGTAGGAGCTGGAGATACTACAGATAGTGTGAGTCGATTGAAAAGAGAATCGGGTTATTGCAGTCAGTGTTTAAATCTGGAAGCAAAGATAAAGGAAATTGAAAATAGTTGTGCCACTTTGCAGAAGGAGATTTACCAGGAGAGGAATGGTTTTAAGTTGCTTGAAGTTAAGTATGAAACATTGCGAGTCGAGAAGGTTGCTGTTGAGGATGAGCTTGAGGTGTTGAAGAGAAGGAATCAAGAGCTGGAAGAGCGGATGCGTCAATTTGAGAATAATGGCTGTAATGAGGAGAACGAGGAGGAAGACAAGGTTTTGCAGTTGATGATCGAGAACAATGTCTTGGAATGCGAGAAACGGGTTGCTGAAAGTAATGTTGAGTCTTGGAAATTGAAGTGCAAGGAGTTGGAGTTGGCGGTATTGGAATTGAACAAAAGGTTGGTTTCAAAAGCAGGAGATTATAAAGATTTAAATGCAAAATCTTTCTTCTCTGGTGGAGAAATCCAATCTCTGCAATCTCAAGATTCAGGTACTATCCTTTTGTGTAAACAGTTTTGTTTTAGTAGTTGTAGATACCATTCTAAGAGGTGAATGTTTTAGGTAAATATTTTGCTTTAGAAGATTGAGACGCATATGGTAGAAATTTTTGCTTATTGCTTTTGATGGGCAGGAAAATCTTTAACAAAGAATCCATGCGTGCAAGCCGAGTGTGTTGGAGCAAACAAATTTTTACTATCTGAAAGTGGTAACAGCCGTAGTAACCAAGTGAGGAAGCGATTGATGTTTGAAGAAGAAAGAGGGTCAAACAAGAGGATGGCTCCTTCTACCCCAGCTGGTGTAAGGCCTGCAAATGTTGTTGTTATTGACTTAAATGAAAGTGATGATGAAAGAACTATCCGTCCTCTTTGTACATCAATAAATGGAAATGATTATAAAAATTCTCTACCTCTTTGTACACCTTGCATACCAGGATCTAGAATGGCTCGTGATTCACCTTACCCTGGATCAGGGAGCACCTTGTCTAATAATGAATTTCCTTCAGAGAACAATTTAAAGATGGCTGACATTGAGCAAGGCAAAGACAATGACATTTTATGTGTTCCAACTCCAAAAAGAAGAAGAGCTTCAAACTTAATTCCTAGTGATAGTGACACTGATGATGATAACGTTCCAATTTGCATGCTCAAGACTAGGCATTTTCATGGGAAAAGCTCCAGTGATCATCCCGAAGGCCACTCAACTCAAATTGGTGATTCTAGGGAGGAAATCAGGAAATCTTCTAGTAGGCGGCGCCTAGTGAAGCTAAGTCAATGTGAAGCAAAAGATGGTGGTGGCAGTGACATCGAAGAAGATGTGTCAGACAGTGAGGGAGAAAGCTTGGGTGGATTTATAGTTAGCAGCTCTGACTGTTCTGACGATGGCGACATCTCTAATTCTGAGGGTGCTTTGGGAAGTAATTCTTCTGTAGCTGAAGATTCAATAACTGATTCAGAGCATATATCGGAGAGTGATACAGATTATTGTGAAATAATGTCGAGAATTCGAAGGAACAAAAGTGATAAATTAGAGTGGGAGTTTGAGGGAGACATGCTTGCTGCCTTTGGTAAGGATCCTGAATTATGTATGAGGGCTGTTTGTGTTTTGTATAGGCAGCAAACAGCTGAGGAGAAATGTAGTAAAGAAACGATATTTCAGAATCAAAGAGGTTTCAGCCAGTGTGATGCCTACAGGTATGTGCTTGAATGCAAATACATGCGCATTACGGTGCTTAAACGATGCTGGTCTAGAGGAACAGAACACTCATTTTAGCACCATATCTCCAGTTATGTAACTTATCCAAGCTCGTAACGTACATAAGATAAACACATGGTTAAAATGCGTCGGAATTAAAGAGTTTGTCAATATTAGTAATCCTCATCTCTTAAAATTTGAATGTCTTAATTGGAGGTTCAATAATATATTCTCTTATATCGAGTTGTTAAGCATGATACATTGTGGTTGAAATTCCTTGACACCCAAGGTGCTGGACGATGTCATGGACGACCCATGAATCTGTGTCATGGACACATCTCCTTGTTATGGCAATAGGCCTTTTCTGTCAAATTCCCAATTACATGAGTTCATAACTCATTAAACTCTTCTGACGTAGTGAATAAGCATTAAGCTCAATTTCTATGGGTTGGTCGACTTTGCTCGATCTGAAATCTGCAAACAATTCATAAATCCAAAGTGTAGGTCCTTGAACTATGGAGAACAATTGAGCTCCATCAAGAGCACTTCTTCCCTATTGAAGGGTAAGATCACGATCCTTAGTTTTCCAACCACTTTTTAAGTAGCTAATCTGAAGATCTGAGGACAATCCAATAGAAAAGCCTTGACCTTGCATTTTCGAAAGGATGTTGAGTTAGATCTTGAGGTTAGCTTGTTCAAAAAGTTGATGCTGGTTAAATTCACTAAGCATATTAAGCTGATAATAAATAGCATATTTGGACTCAGTAACTTTGTTGTACTGCAGATAAGTTTTATTACTCTGAGGACTGCCTATGACCATGACTATGCTGATGTATACTAGTCCAGTGATGAGTCTCACATAGATCAAAACGATCAATCATCTATGATTGGGATTGCACGACTGCTATAGCTTTGTCCAAGATGGCATGGTTGTTTCTGACTTAATGAATCAAATGTCATGTTGACCGTTCTTTAATGGCTAATGTTTATTATGTAGTTATTATCACTTGCTTTTGCTGATAGAGGGAGAAAGAAACATGTAATATCAAAAGGTTGCACGAATGCTTCCAGGTCAAAGTGGACTAGAGAATGAAATTGTTTCTGGGACTAATTGCCTACGTTAGGCCAGAGGAAAACATGGGATTAATGATTCCCTGTGAAAAGGATGATTTCAAGGCTGCAAATGTGTAAATATGAGACTTTTTAATATTAGCATTCACATTAAACATCTAAAAGTTCGTCTTTTGACCAGAAAGGGTTGATCTGATTTAATGCTTCTATCAATTGCATTGAAACAATGCTGAATCTGATGTTTGCTTTTGTATGTTTGGGGGCTAGTTTCATAATTTATACTGCCATATTACAGGGGAAGCACCTTGGCTGAATTTCTTACGGATGGAGATCCGCAAGGTGACATGAACAAGTCTGTGGAGGAATTGCAAGCATATGATCCCAAGGGTATTGAACTGTGCAGAACTTTGGCGACAAGATACTCCAAGCAGCTATTTGCTATCTACAAAAACAAAGAGGATCCGTTTTTCTCAGCTTCCTGACATATTATGTGGTTTTGTTCCTTGCCCCACATAATGGTCTAATATCAGTCTTCCTATCCTTAATGTAGATATGACATCTTATCATGTACAGTCTGTCCTTCTGTATATACAATCTAGGCGCTTTTGCTATCAAGAAATTAACAACTACTACTACACCTCAATCATGAGTAAGTTAGCGTCGACTATATGAATCCACTGACCATGTCGCCTATTTAAGCTCATCTCGATTAAACTAATACAATGTCAGTGTTTGGCCTAATCCAAGCCTTGTATTCCTGCCTGCTTTTTCTTTCTTTCTTTCTTTCTTTCCCAGGGGCAGGGATTTTGTGAAGGGATTGAGAAGAGACTGCACGTGTAAGCAGATGATGTGCACCTGTTAGAAAGTCGAGGGATCTTTTCCAAACAAGCTGCATTAAGGGTGTGTTTGGTATTGAAGGAAAATGTGTTTCATGAAAAATGAGTGCTTTTATTACTTATTTTCCCATGTTTGGTTGGTGAGTGAAAAACTTTTTCCGGAAAATATTTTTTTAGTGTTTGTTTAGAGAGTAGAAACTATTTTTTAGAAAAATGATTTTTAATGCTACTTTCATATACCCCCCCCCCACCCCCCAACCCCACCCCCACCCCCCCTGTAGTCGCGGAGGCAAGTAGCCTTTGTGAAATTTTGTGTTATCCCCAGTATTTGCGCCTCCTTACACACATGACATATCTCGTAAAATCCTTTGAAGCATTTCTGCCTTAGCCTCCTTCAACATCTCTGTTTAACCAAAAAATAGAATTTCGGTCAAAGCTTTATTTTTAGAAGAACTCGGGTTACTGATAATCGAAAATGAACAGAAGAAATTGATTTTGATAACAATAAGATAGATAGCAGAAAACAAAGTAAATCAGAATATTTAGTTGATATTTCGTGTCCTTACAAATGACCAGTCTTCTCCTTTTTATAGCTATCTCTAAGATATACGTTTTGCCTTTGTCATAATAAGGTTATTATAGACAATTAAGACATTAAATGCTATGTTACATAATCATTGTAATTTAATACAGATTCTCTAACGTTTTTAGTATTTAATGCTTATTAAATACTGTATCTGTACTCTCTTGTGCTGTCAGATTCATTCTCTTTGATTTTTGGATTTAAATAGGTACGAGCGTTGAGTTTTTTGAATAACTGCTCGTGCCTCTACTTGTGCCTCTGCTCGTATCTGTTGCAACTCTTACCTCTTTGCTAATCATCACTCTTTGACCAGCCTTCATGTCATGACACGTCATCTTTCAATCACTTCAATATGTAAACTCAAATTTTCCAATACAGATAGTCCTCCCACTTGCCATTTATTTATCAATTGAATATTTGGGAAGTGGATTTTATTAAAGCGGGAATATTTGCCGCAATTAATGCTATGATAGAATCGACGCTTCAATTGTCACTTCCATTTAATGTTTGTTACACGTGGCATCTTTTTGTTGTTTCTGCGACTTTGCAGCGCTTTTTAAGGCTCTTTTACGGCTTCACCAATTACGAAGCGACAGTTCTCATTATGACCTTTCCATCATTGCACCTTTTCCTTTGACGGTTGCTTCTTAGTATAAATATAGTTCTCATCTTTGTCTTTCTCACATAAAGTTCATAGCTTTCAAAATATTCAATCCTTGTTCTTTACCTTCCTCGTACTGTCATGTCTTCATCAAACCCTAACCCTAGGAGAGTCCCCATAGTTGATAACTTTCCTCTTGCCCCTAATAGGAGTAGAAGAGGAGGTAGACTACGTAATTTAGCGTCTTCATCCATACGTGGTTCTTCTCTTCCTTCATCTAGTTCCAACCCCTCTTCTAGAACCAGAGGTTCTCTTTCTCAAAGATCTTCTTCTAGGGGTAAGGAACCTTCTGAACCTCTTCGTGAACCTTCGGTGGATGAAATAGTTCCTGCTGAATTATCTTTCTATAACGACAGAGAATCCCTTAGAAATCAAGTATCTTCTTTAAATCGGGTTGATATCTACCAAACTCAAATCATTAAAGGTTTGAGTACTTTAGTTCGTAAAGACTGCCATTGGAGTCATGACTTCCCTATTATAATTTCTAATGCGAACCAAAGAATCACTTCTTATTTAATGGGGTTTTCTTTTGTTTACACATACCCTTACACATTAGGCTTCAAACCTGCTATTGACCCTGTTATCCTTGAATTCTGTCGTTTTTTCGACGTTTGTTTAGGTCAAATTGGCCCTATAGTGTGGAGGGTTGTTGCCTGTTTGAGGCATTTGACCAACATGGTAGGCGTGCCTTTTACTTTCTCTCATCTAATTCACCTTTATTCTCCCAGACTCTTTCGCCAAGGTGTCTTTACTTTAGTAGCAAGGAGTAAAAGAGTTTTGGTTAGTCCAGAAGATGACAGAGACCGTGGCTGGTATGCCAGGTTAGTTGCTGCCCCCACCGTTGATTTAGTGGGTGATGAAAATGTTCCCTTCCCCGAGAAGTGGAATTTTGCACGTGAGTTTTTTTTAAATAACTTTCTCGTACCTTTTCTCTTCAATTTTGATGATTATTATCCTAATTTTCCTTTTCTTTTCCAGCAACCATGGGAATTGTTGACGATATTCCCAATTTCCGTGGTTGGGTAGGAAAGCTGTTGAATACTGCCCCAATGGAGGGTAGATCTTTGAAGACTCTTTCCTATCGATTTGGTTGGAAAGTGAAAACTCATGGTAAGAGTTTTTTTCCCTTTTATATATTGCTTTTTCCTGAACTTATTTTAATCCTTCTTTTTATCAGGATTTGCAGTTCGAGGGATTAGTGCTGAGGCGGTCATAGCTTCTTGTATTTCTTTGAAAAGGGCCCAAGAGATAATTTTGGACTCTTCATCGAAAAGAAAAGCTGCTGATGACCAAGACTTTGAAGAAGAGGAAGATGAGGGCTCCTTAGTGAAAAGGCCACGAACCCGTAGACGGATCGTTTCTGATGAGGAAGCTTCTCCCCCTCGTTCGGTTCCTCTTACCGAGTCTGTTGAAGCCCCGGTGGTGATCCCCTATGATGATGTTCCCGCTGCTGTTCATGACTCTGTTGAGCAGCTTTTTGACCGCGGGTTTGGTAGTGAAAATTTAGGTTCGATTTCTGATGAAGCTCCCCTGGCTCCTTTTTCTACTCCCGTTCCTGTGATTCCTTCTTTGCCAGTCGTGGCTATTACTGTTCCTCCCCAGGCTGTTTTGACTGCTTCTACTGTTCCTCCTTCAACAATTCCTCCCTCACCTGTTCCTCACACTGAAGTTGGTTCCTCGAGTAGGGGTGCTGCTATGAGGCAAGTCACCATTGAAGTTCCTGCTGAGGGTAACCTTTTGAGGAAATCAGGTCAAGCTGACGTGTGGCTAAAACTTTTGATTGGTCCAGTTGAGAGAGCTAAACTTGACAGCCACAGTTCTTTGACCTTGATGAACGATATAGTGCATGCTTCTCTAAAGGTATCCCTTTTTCAAATTTTACTTACCTTTTTTTTCTTTCTGTTTTCAGGGTTCTTATTTTTCCCTTCTTTTTTTTAGGTCAATCTAATTGGCACGGAGATGATGAAGAGGGTTACCCTCTCAAAGCAATTAGTGCGTGACTACCAAGTGGAGGCGGATAATTGGAGGGAACAATGTGAAAGTCTTCAGATCGACGTGGAAACATTAGAAGAAAGTAAAAGTACCTTAGAGCAGCAGGTACGGGCTTTGACTTCAGAATTGGCAGTTGAAAAAGCTTCTTCAAATCAAGCAGGTAAGGAAAAGGCTCGTCTGGAAACCTCTTTTTCCGAGCAATTGTCCAAGGCAAGTGAAGAAATTAGAGAGTTGAGGGCTCTCTTGGGTGAAAAAGAAGCATATGCTGGTGAACTTGTGCAGAATTTGACTCAAACTCAAGAAGACCTCCGGGTATCTTCTGATAAGGTTTGTTCTTTAGAAAATTCCCATGCTTCTCTTCAAGCTTCTTATGAATCTGCCTTGGCTGAAAATGAAAAGTTAAGAAATGAAATTGCTGACTGGGAAAGAGATTACGAGATCCTTGAAGATAAAACTGCCATTGAAGTGAGTTGGGCATTTTTAAATTCTCGCCATGATACCCTCGTTGAAGTTAGCCAGGAGAATTTTAACTTGGAATCTGAGTTAGCCAAGATCAAAGAGACTATTGAGAAGACTCAGCAGAACCAAGATTTTTCTTCTCCCGTGGCTGAAGCTTCTGAAAATGTTGAAGATGATACGGGTATCCCCACTCCTTCAAGTCAAGTTGAGCTTGCTGTTGTTGATGTCAATTCCTTCAACTTCTCAATGAAAAGTTTATGTTGTTTGAAATCCTTTGTTGTTTTTTTTCTTCTTTTTGGTGATATGTGGTTGTAACCCTTGGTCTTTTTAAGGGTTTGTTGAAACGTTAAGTCCCAGACCTTTTATGGGGCACTTTGTATAAACAACTTTTGGTTTATGACTAAGTTCATACTTAGTTTAAACTTTTTTAATATTAAGAAGTTTCTGTTGCTGTTTGAACTTCTGTTTTGATTATTCTTGCCTTTATTTTTAAGGACTTACTGAATAACTTGCATTTTTATTATTCAAAAATGCTTCTGTTTTTTTTAGCTTCATGAATACTTGAATTAATCATGAATATTATAAAAGAGGGACCTTTTATATTCGACACTTAATGAAGAAGACGTCTCAACTTCATAATGGTGTTAATATACGATGAAAGAAATAAGAATATACATGTTTCTTGAAATAACTTTGACAAGTTTTTATTTGAACTTTGTCTACCTTGGAATAACACTTTACATGTATTTGAATTACTT